TGCTGCGCGTTGCGGAGCGCCTGCCCCTGCCCTCGGAGCTCGCCTGAGCTCGTGCAGAGCACGGGCCAAGGTGCTGAAAGGGCTCCTGTTTGCTGCCGCTTCACGGCGCTGTTTTGGGCTAAATTTGCCAATTTTTAGTTAGTGTAAATCTTGCTGGGAGTGTCCCGATTCAGGCACTCAGGGAAGGGGCATATATGCATGTGCGGAACCTTGCTGAAGATAAAATCTTTAGCTTCTCCGTCTTCCCTTTTGTTTCTTTTTTGGGTTGGTGTGTTCAAACCAGAAAGCCAGTGGTTGGTGTAATTCCATCACAGATGGACGAGGAGCCCCGAGTGAAGATCAGTGCTGTGTGCCCGGTACTGTAACGCTCTTTGGCACCTTGGCTACAGTTACTGTCTAACTGGCTTTGGTCTCTTCTACTTAGTGTTAGCTTTGGAGTAGGGCAATGTACAAAAATGTCGCAGTTGTAGACAACTTACATAGTAAATGTTGAACGTGTTGATGCTGAATGTGTAATTTATCTCTTGCAGGAGATATCTTGACAACCTCACAGCAATTGGGCCCAGAACAGTTGGAAGTCCAGAAAATGAAGTTCTTGCAGTTAACTACCTCTTAGAACAAATTAGGGCAATAGAAAGAGAAAGCACAGGTGCTCACAAGGTATCTGTAGACGTGCAGAGGCCCACAGGCTCCTTCAGCATTGACTTTTTAGGAGGCTTTACTAGTTACTATGCAAACATCACCAATGTCGTCGTGAAGCTGGAGCCCCGAAACGGCGCCGAGCACGCAGTGTTATCCAACTGCCACTTTGATTCCGTACCGAATACCCCGGGTAGGTCCGTGCGTTTGTCCGGCGTCTCGGTGTGTTATTTGAGCCACAGGGTTTGGCTCGCTGTCTTCTCGTACCAAGTAGCCTTATAGCCACGTGCCATAGTGCTGCATGTGTCAATTAGTCTGCTTGATTTCCGTGAGAATTGGGATTTATAGTAACAGGTCGGTCCTATCGAAGTCAGGACTTTGCTCTTACTTTCTGATAGGCAGCAAATTACAGATACTATATTTAGATTTCTAGAAGGTTTGGTTATATCTGCCTTTCTTGTAATTCCATGTTTATGCATGGTGTTTGTGTGCTGCTTCCACCTGTTATTCAGGTCTTTCCGTGCTTCTGTACTGATTTAATCCTGACTTTCCTTTCACAGGATGCTTTGTGCCACAGGCTGTTCCCACCTCCACTAACGAGCCTGTGTTTTCCCCTCCCTTTGCTGGTGTTGTACTATAGCTCAAATTTTTAGTGCGATATCCTTAAGCTATGCCAATTTTTTTTTTTCTTTCTGTGCTCAAAGCTTCTGTCTCGATAGACTGCAGCAGTCAAGGATTGAGGTACTGACACCTTGATAGTGTGTACTTCTCTCTTGCTGCTACTTTCACTGTCACTGTTGCGTACTCTCTTCTTACTCCTCTGCATTTTTATAAATCTAATCAAGTTAAATAATTACTGCAGCAGGAGTGTAAACAGCTTTGTAAATACATGGTTTTAACAGTGGCAGGAAGGTAGAGAACTGGAAATTGTGTGAAAACTTTTGTTGTAATACTCAGCCACAGGCATGTGCCTGTTACTACAGATGAAAAATACCTACAGGCTTCAGCCACCAACAGCACTGCTTTTACTAAAGTTTCTTCATTTACACCTCACATGATATTTTATTTTGGAGGGGCAAACCTTCTGTTCTTTAGCACATGCAAGTAGTCTTTATTATTGAGAAAGCAGTTGAGTATTAGCTGGAGAAACAAAGCACTTGCTGTGCTCTTTGTGTCTTTTTTGTCAACAAATACTACACAGAACTTCTCTTGCTTCTCAATCAGATTTAGGCAAGATGGGTTTCCAAATTAAGCTTAATAACTGCATTATTATAATACATGCTCTGTGACTTAGGAACTGCAGAGATGCTAATTGCTGTATTTATAGTCTAAGTATGGCTGCCTAGGCTTAGAAAGAATACTTCACAAGCATAGTGCAGTGATTATTGAAAACTGTCTTTAAATTGCTGCCTTATGTAAACTGTGTGTCTGCTTCTGTGGGTTGTAACGCAGGATTGTGGCTACAGCCATTGCTTTCTTTACAGTTACTCTGACAGTAAAATACTTCACCAGCCTTGAACAGAGGTGCCAAAAATTAGTAGTGATTTGTACAGGATTATACAGAAACCTGTGGAGGAGCTAGAAATCAGCCTGTATGCTTGCCCTTAATCACAAAGCAGCCCAGCCCTTTACCATGACAGCGAGGAACTGCTCTGTCGTTCGTTTTCTTAGTGTGAAACTTGCTTGTAATTTAAGCAAGAACCTTTTGGTTTCCACTCTTCTGTGGGTTGTTTGCTTCCACCTTTGTTTCATTTAAATGAACAAAAATATGTTATTTAATCAGAATCAGTAGGACATAGTGTTCAGTGACTAATATATTTGAAAATCAGATAGTAAAACGTAATATTATGTACACATTTGGTTACGTATACAAAGTGAGTAAAGTAAAACACAGTAAACCATTAAAGCATCAATGTTAGAAAGTTTGGATACCCGTTAGCTAGAGGTGTAAGTGAAAATAAGCTTGTGAAGGAAAAACGTAAACTAAACTCCTAAAACATGTCTCTCTTTCTAATGGTACTAATTTTCAGTTTACGTGGCCTGTTTGATTCTTTTCTAATAAACTTGAAGGCAGAAACACCCTTGAGATGATCACAGATGCAGCTCATAACAGGGTTTTCTTAGGTTACCGTATTTGCCGTAACATCTGTTTAACCTCCCATCAGTTTTACTGTATGTGACGTATTTGGGGATGGTACTTTCTCTGTGAGCTTCTGTCATAGTCTTTGGCTACGTGGATGCTTTAATCAGGTGTAAAATTGTGTGTCTGTTGGAATCAGTAACTTTTATTTTTCTTAGCTTCACCGCGAGGCCGGTAAGTGACTAATATCTCTGAAAACTACAGCCACTTCTCTGCTGAGTTTTCCACACAGTGTAAGTTAGATAAAAGAGCTCAGTGTGACTGAGAGCAGACCACTGAGAGATTTGGGTAGCAATATGATCAGGTCTTTAGATCAGATATCAGCTTTTTGGAAAGCTTTGGGCAGAATAAGGCATTGGTTTCTGAGAAATAGGTTAGAGAACAGTGTGTTGGAAAGATTTCGGGTTTGTTTATTATTCTAAAGTACTTCTATACAATAAGCTGAGGCTAAAATTTTGACTGAGATCAGTGTTTGTATCCGGAATATGCTCTTTTCATGGAAGGGGCAAATATGTGTAAATTTTGCCAAGTTACAAGCTTTGGAAAAGCTGCTTTTTTTTTTTTTTAATGTGTAAATTAAACCGTTTTAGCAGCTAATGAGTCTGCCCCAATAGCAGCCTGAGACCTGACCACACTACTATTGTCATCTCAGTGCATGTCAGCATCATCTGTGCAACCCAGGGCTAAAGGAAGGAGGTTAAATTTCTCTGTTTGCTCACAAATTTTATTGATTAGCGTGGGGTAGGGAGATGCTACAGCTTGCACCAAAGTGAGGGAAATGGGGCAATGGGAGACCTTGGCTAAAAGGTGGATGCTTAATCAAGACAAAAAAATGGCAGGGCATGGAAGGACGTGTGAGGAAGTGGGAGTAAGTCGAGAGTGGTGCTGGATGAGGAGCTCAGAGAGCAGACTACTGACCTCGGAGCAAAAGGGTTTTTCTGCAAAGAGGGAAGGGTGGTGGAAAGCATCTGATCATGAAAATACTGTATTATAATGCATACTTTGATTTTAAGAATGTTTTAAAGATGTGCATTCTGGTGTTTCCTTTGCTTTATTTGCAGTCTTGGCCTTCATGTTACTTTGGAGTTTTGTCCACAGCATAGAATGCTTTAGGGTGACTTGTGTGGGAATTTTTTAAAATCTGGTTATGCAGCAAGTGAAAATTATGTCCTCATTTATTCATATTGTTCTCAGAGAAATAGATAACAATCTCTTTGCTTGCTTAGTAACCTGATTAGCCTACTTTTCTCGAACAGTAATATTGGATCTGATACCTTGTACTTCCTTGTTCAACGTTTGGACGTTATTTATCTTTCTGCTGTTGCTTTTAACTAGCACAGACACAGGGTACAAGCAGTAGCAGAAAGTATGCTACAGCTTGACGTAATTGTTCCTCAGTTAGATTAAGTGGCTGAGGTAGCACAAAGCCTTTTCTTCTCTGGTCTTTATTGCTATTCTGTGAATTTGTTGTAAGCCATACTATTCTGCTGATTATTTTAAGGTGCCAGTGATGATGCTGTTAGCTGCGCAGTGATGCTTGAAATACTTAACACGCTTTCAAAATCATCAGAGCCCCTGCAGCATGCGGTCATATTCTTATTTAATGGTGCAGAAGAAAATATTTTGCAGGTGAGAATATGCCAGAATTATAAAATATAAGTCAAAGCTATATACTAAGGTTCTGACAAAGGAAAGAGTAACTGCTGACACAGCTTGTACTTAATCTTTTGAAATATTGGTTAAATGCCGGTCTTAACGTTCTGAGGAAAATGTGTTTTATTTCAAAAGGAAAACTATACTTACATTAAGAGTATTGTCTGTATTAATTAAATTAGAAGCCTTGGATTTGCTGCATCTGCATTTGTCATAAGTGATTTGACTGCTTTGCCCGATCTTGAGTTGTGATCATGTGTGATGGAAAATAACATTTAGGCTGATCTGAAAGATATTTGACCTATATTTTTTTTTTTGTTTTCCCATCAAGGCTAGTCACGGCTTCATTACACAACATGAGTGGGCCAAATCAGTTAGAGCTTTTATTAACCTGGAGGCAGCAGGTGTAGGAGGAAAAGAACTTGTTTTTCAAACAGGTATGAACTTGCATTGTGTCCAGTTTCTACACTGAGATAATTTGATAATAAACAGTTTAGACTTGAAGGAGTATTGAAACTGACTCGTAAGCAAAAGGCAGGAGAACCTCTGTGCCTCTTTTCCAGCCCTGTGCAGCAGATAAGTTGCTCTACATCTTTAAGTACACATAGGCTAAAGCACTGCCACTGAAGTGCCTCATTCGTGGAAAGCCTGCGTAGAGCAAAATTACAGAAGTTGTATTTCCCCTTTACATCAAGGTAATAAGGAGAAAAGCAGATTTAGATATTTTTTACATATTTCATCCTTCCATGTGCTCTACTTAATTTTCACAGCAGTTCTTTCAAAGCCTTTGCAGGGACACTTTGGCATCAGAACTCCATCTGCTGCTCAGAAAGCGGCAAAACTGGGTTTTGTAGGCTACAGTTAAGCTTCTGCTCCATCCTAGGGGACTGCAGGCGTCCTTCTGCTGCTGGGGCTGCTTAATTCTTCACTTGCACTCAGTGCTTGAGTGGAGAGGCTTTTCTCTAAGCAACAGTTTTGAAGTGTGGTACATAGTAAACTGGAAACTCTGCTGAAGGCTGTGACTTCTTCATTAGTGCTGGTTTTTTTTGAGAAATAGCTTATGTGCTCTGCCACTGAGCACTCAAGGCAGCAGTGGACCTTTTTCCCCTCTGAGTGTAACTAATACTTTCTCTCAAGTGAGAGTCATTCAGCCAACACAAATGCGCTTAGTATATATCCTGTGAGGCAACAGGGTTAAAACTCTAGTGAGTTCCTTTGTGGTGTTTGTTTGTCACCATAAAGATACGTATCTTAACTGAAGTTCAAAAAGTGTTTGTTGAAACTTTCTGCTCACCTTTGTTAGGACCAGAGAATCCTTGGTTGGTGCAAGCATACGTCGTTGCAGCCAAACATCCCTTTGCCTCTGTGGTGGCACAGGAAATATTTCAGAGTGGTGTTATCCCAGCAGAGACGGACTTCCGCATCTACAGGGACTTCGGCAACGTTCCAGGTATGTTACAAGGAAGCCTGTCAATGCACATTATGCAGCCGTTGAGCTGAACCTTATAGCGAGCAGATTGTTCTGCTCTTTACTATGTGAAGGTCTGGGAGCACATTTTCCTGCTTTTTTTCTAAGGCAAGAGCGTTTAGATTTGGTTTGTCATGTAGTTTCTTAAGGATGTTTTTTGGAGACTGCTGTTTTCCAGAAAGAAACTGCATGATAGAAAAGTTTCCTAAAAATCACAAAAACGTTCCAGAAATTAACAGTAAACTATTAAATATTTTGTTTTTAAATATTTCAGTAACGATGGTGATAACATGCTTGCAGAAATTAAATGTCTGTGTCTAATGAATAAAGCAAAATCATCCTTTTTAAGATAGTGACTTAATGATTAAAGCACTTTCATCACTTGCTCCTAATCAAGCACAGGACAGCAAGGGAATGGTTTTTGGTTTTGCTAATCTGTTTACAGTTTGCTATCCATCCTGCAGATAATGACCAATGGAAAAAAAATGTGAAACACACATTGGAAACACAATTCAAAGCAGTGTAAACTTCTGTAAAATCCCTGCTGTCTGGCACAGGTTGTCGCTGGAGTTACTTTCAGGAAAAGTGATATTTCTGAATTGATTCTTTGAACAAAACATGTTGGCATATTCTGAACTGTTCCAAAGTATGCTTCTAGCCTGAAAATAAAGTAGCTGCTGTTGTACAATGTGTTCTTTATTTGTTAAGAATTGCACCTGGATCATAAATGGTAAATGAATTCTCCCTGACCTCTGTTTTTTCTGAACAAATAGAAATGAAATAATGGAGCTGAAGAACTAGTTTGTTCCTTGTTGTCCACTGGTAGAATTGAGGTCTGAATTGTTAAACCGCTGCAAAATTGTGAGGGTTCAGATTGCAGACAGCAGCTTTTTACGTGTGCAACTGAGAGGGTGTGTGTTTGAGAGACAATGAATGTATGAGTAATCTGGCAGAAACTTGGTAAATATTTTTTGTTTATTTTTACAAACTATTCAGACTTTTAAATTAGGAGTTTTCAGATGGGCTGTTTGAAAAACTGTTTACAAATTCGAAGTAAAAAGAACATACCTGTTTTTTGAGAAGATGTTTCTATAGTTCCACAGTGCTACTTTTTATTACTTTTCAGTGTGGATCTCTATTGGTGTTTTCCCAGTAAATGTTTGGAAGGCACCTTGTACATCTTTTCTTAAACTCACAGGATAAAGAATTTTCATGTGTTTCCTCAGTAAAGATCAGTCTGTATACAGATGTCATGCAAATCAATATATTAGGGAGGACAGATATTTTAAAATGTTTTAAAAGTGTCCCTTTTTTAAATACACATGGAATCCCAGGTAGTCTTCCTTCTATGAAGCAAACTATTTTGTTCATCTATAAGGATAGTGAGTGGGCTACGAAGTAAAGCAACGTTCTGTGTGAAATATATCTGAGGCTTTCACATGTTTCATTTTGAGGTTTTAAGTTTATGTAATTTCAAACGTGCTTTTTCTTTCTCTGTAGGAATAGATTTGGCTTTTATTGAAAATGGCTACATTTATCATACAGAATATGACACATCAGACAGAATTTTAACAGACTCCATTCAAAGAGCAGGTTGGTATTTCAAGTATTTGGTAATTTACTAAAGAGTAGCACTGTAGCTGCTTTTTCATTTTACTGTAAGACTACCATTGCAAGAAATTCATCATTTCGATTACAAATTTAGAACATGCTAGTCATGTTCTAAAGAACAAAGAATTAACTGAATGCATGTCTTTAGAATACAAAGGGAATATGTTTAGTCAGCTTGGAGAGATAAACTTTATCGACGTCCAGTGATGTTGATTTGAAAGTAACTCTGGAATCTAAATAAGGTTATAATCTAGCCATTGATACCTGATTACTCAGTGTTCCACATTCCTGTTCTCTCAGTAAGTCCTCTTATTGATTAATGTTCATGATGAGAAGCTTATGGTTAAGTTGGTGGCATAGAGGCTGATCTGCCAACAGAGATTTTTCTTTTGGGATGGATCTCAGTGGTAGCACATGAGCCGTGGGTAAACGGGATTTATTTTCTGCTAACAAATTGTGCTCATAGCAGGCTGACAGGTTGCAGTAAAGAACATTACAGTAAAATGTTTAGTTTCCCAGCAAAAATAATGATATAATCCTAAATGCCTCCAGGATTTTGACTGTCTCCCACTTTAAGCTGCACAGAAGCCAACTTAGGTGACCACCATGAATAAGAGTTTAAAACACTTTCTTGTGCCAGTGCCGTTGCAAGACAGAAAGTAACACTTCAAAATTCGTGTTGGAAAGCTGATTTTACTGGCCATAGTGGTTATGTAGAACATCTCTCGCTAAATGTATCACAGCTAAAAATAAAAATAAGACATATGTTTCAGCCAGCAAGCACTTTTACAGGTCAAGTAAAAGCAAAATGAAAGTTGACAACAATTGTTCTCGTTTGAGTACGTGTGTTTTGGCTGTCCTGTGGGAAAGGAAGAGGTGGCTGGTACCTGCAGGCTACAAAGGAAAATAGCCTCCTTGCCTCCTACCTTAGTCGTCTGCGGAAAGAAAGGCAGGTAATGCAGTCATCGAGACACGGGGGGGTTACTAGTGGCTCGCAGAAGAGGAAGATTAGGAAATTCTTCTATGGCTTATCCTTGAAGTCCAATGCTTTAATATCAGACCTGAAGAAGGATTTATGGGCTGAAAGCTTGACTATTCCCTTCACTGCTACAGCATTTAAATACGTGACGCTTCCGAGGTATGCTTGTTTTAGTGGCAGCTGTATAGATTAGCTCGTGAATAGATGTGCTGCACGTACCATCAAATGCCTGCGTCAGAAGAATCGGTTGTGTATTCCCATCCTTGGTAAGGATACTTCAATACAGTTTTATTTTTAACAATGCTTGTATTTAAAGGAATGCTGTGCACTAATTCATCAGCCCTGGTATAGTTGTATTTTATATCTGCTTTTTTTTAATAGGTGACAATATTCTAGCTGTCCTAAAATACCTAGCAACATCAGATAAGCTGGCTAAATCTTCTGAGTATCGACATGGAAGTGTTGTGTTCTTTGATGTACTTGGTTTATTTGTCCTGGCCTACCCTGCTCGTGTTGGCACCATCATCAACTATATTACAGCAGCAATTGCTTTTCTTTACTTAAGCAAGAAAGTATTACAGCCCAAAACCAGAGGTATGTTAAAACACATAAATCAATCACATTACTTTTTAATGAACAGCAATTAGATGGAGATGTGTTTAGGTGATTAAGGCATCTTTTTAGATGAAATTCAGAAATAAATTTTAGATGTGCAGCATGCCGTAGGAGTTGCTGTGTGTTTAAATTTCTCAACTGTGAATAATTGTGAAGAAAGACTACGATAGGCCTAGGTGTCTAGCATTTATGAATCATGATAATGACTTTTGTACTTTCATGAAAATTAAAGTTAAATCTTTTGAAGATCTGAAAATGGGAAAAAAAAATGGTTACTATCTATATAACTCTTTGTTCTGTTAGCACAGGTAGGTAGGGCTTCAGAGTCATGTTTCTTTAATGCCTGTCAATAGGCAGGAGCAAATAAGAAAACCACAAATGAGGAAAAAAACGCCAAAATTTATTAAAGGATGTAAACCAACTTAAATCTTCTAGTTAGACCTTTTCAGGTATGTGTAGCAACATACCTTTTTTAAAAAAGACAAACCAACCACCCCTGCCCTCTCCCGCCCCACCCCCAAAACTCCAGGAGACATTTTTGCAGTAAGAAAAAGTGACAAGAAAAGCAACTCCTTTTTTTTTTTGTTGTGTTTTTTTTGTTGTTTTGAGAATTTTTAAGTGGTAGAGTGGCTCCACTGGTTCCCTAGAGAAATTTTTACTATCAGGAACATGATAATCTGCAAAATACACTAGTAATCAGGGAATAAATCTTGCAGTGGGCAAGACTGCAAAAAGACTTGCAAAGAAATAGGCTAAAGTGATTTAGACCATAGTGTGAAATCTTCAGAGTGGACTCCTCGCGCAGTTTTATTTTGGTCATTAAAGCAATTATACTCTGAGGTGGTTACAATCTCGATGGTGGCCTGTGGTAGAATACATGACCGTTTAATGAAAATTCTTTTTTCTTCTTCACAGCTGTCCATAACCTGAAGAAATTCTTTACTGCGTTCGGCTTAACACTGCTAAGTTGGGTCTGCACCCTGGTGGCGGTCCTTTCCGTGGCTGTGTTCATCTCCATCATTGGAAGGTCCCTCTCTTGGTACACACACTTCTATGTCTCTGTGTTTCTGTATGGCAGTGCAGCTGCAGCTAAGCTCGTTCTTGTGCATACACTGGCCAAGAAGTTCTTCTACAAGGTAAGCTCGTTTTGTCGCTAACGTTGAAGGTTAATTTAATCTGTCAAAGGCTCAAAAGTTGGGTTGATTAAAAAGATGCGAAAAGTTTTCTGTATTGGACAGAAGTATTTAAAACGTTGCTGTAAAAATTGCTTTATCTAAGCATAGGGATTGTGCTGTTAAATCAGAGAGTTAAGATCTCTATGATTTAAGACTTCTTTCTTGCTAATGACCTTTAGGAGAGGCTTCAGAAAAAAAGACGAAAGCCTAGTAGAAGACAGTATAAGGTACTATTTCTTTCCGTGTCTCCACGTTCCCTTCCTGTCATCATCTCCGTGATAAGAGATCAGAGCAACAGCTGGAGAATTCAGGTTTTTTGGTACCTTCCAATGTTTCTGATTAATTACAGAATCTACATATATACTCAAATGTTCTTTGAATCTTACCGGATTCTTGTCTCTGAATGTACTTGTATGACAGGTTCCCTAAATTTAATAGTTTATTTTGGTATGGTACTCCTTATGTGTCTTTTAATGTTTATTTTTTATTTAATCTATCATTTACATTTTGTTGTGAAACTTGGAATTCCAGTTCTCTGTTTTATTCTGTCCTTTATTATGGACATGTTTTTGGTGATATCATTTGTGTTTATAATCTTCTAAGCAAATACAACTTTTTTTTTTTTCCCCAAATGGTTCATGTGAGAGCTTTTTTCTTGTCTCTGTCAGAATTTCTGGTTCTGACATGCCCTCTTCTAATACAGTAATCTGAGCTGTACAGAGCTTTCTAAATGAACCTGTTGTAAAAACCTGAGTAGTCACCCTTGCCTCTGTGGTTATTCTGATTGTTAGTTGTTTTGACCACCACTGGAGATGGAGCAGAGGTCTCAGTAGTCCGTATTCTTTTCTGCAGCAGGTAAATGCCATTTAGGCCCCTGCAAGATTTCCCAAGGATTGAGTGTGTGTTACCTTTCCATTGCTGTCACTTGTCATGGTTACTGTCTATCTGCCTTTTTTGATTAGAATTGTTTTTTACGGACTAACCAACACAATTTAACTCATATAATGATGTCATAATTACAGCTCACAACAATCTAAAATGTTTGAATGACAGTTTAATGGTTTTGTATTTAAAACAAATAGGGTCTTGAGGTGGTGCCTTGAGGTGTCTGACAGATGACACTCTCCCAGGGTAGAACTCGACTACTTGAGCCTGTTAGGTTTAGGTTTGAGGCACTGCAATGTGCTGGTACTTACCTGCTCAGCCATTTGCCCAAGCTTTGGGCAGGGGAATTCAGGAAACCTAAGTAGACAGCCAAATCCAGCTTCCTCCGAGTATTTGAAGAAGTTTTAAGAATTTACTGAAATTTGATTGCATGGAAAATTCTGAGTGGATCCATCATGTCTTCATCTGGAAGTGTTTTTTTGTTGTTGTTTGAGGAAGGCGAAAGTTAACTGGTACATGTATGTTAACAAATATATCTATGTGGTGGTGTTCTCTTGTGGAAAAGATGAGCCATTTATAAAATAGATGCGATGTTACCATTTTCTAGTTTTTGGAAGAGCTGATGGGAGAGTGTACTTTCACTAACTGTTCAGCCTTCCAGGCTCTGGATCTCCTTGTCTGAGGATTGTCTGATCAGCAGATCAGCCAACTCAGTATCATGAGTCTCTCAATTTTCTTGCATGCTGTAGCTTGCAGTACACTGCAGTTTGTGCTGCCACTGTAACTTAGATTGTACTTAAGTGTTGCATAAAAATTTTGGAAGCTAATCTCTTACTTGGCTGTCTTAGACAATGCCTGGGTGTTTTCCGTTAGTGGCTCAAGAACTTGTGAATTAATAAGCTTTTTGTTTTGAAATAGGTTTGGCAACTCAGGCAACTCATATGTTCCTTCTTCTCCTCCCTTTTTTTTTTTTCTTCTCAGCCCAAAACTGAACTAGGTGCTTTCAAATAGCCATTGTTCATGCAAGCAGTCCTTCTTGCTGCTAGCAGGATTCACGATTAAAAATCTTGCACTACAAACACTGCAGCATTGCCCATGTCACTTAAAAATCCCCACCAAAACAAATCACGTTTTTTGATGGTTAAACTTCTTTTTCAAAAAACTTGTCTGGTGTTATCTGACTCATGCATGTCTTTTCTTCCGAACGAATAACGTGTTTAAAAAAGCAGAATTCTGAGGTGGCCGCCGTGACATGACGTACAAAATTGCACCAGTATTGTATTTGTGCACGAATAATGGTGCTTGTAGAAGAAGTAGTAACAGCTGCTGTTCAAAACCAGGTTTGGAATCTCAGAAGATATAGGTAACTTTTTCACACAGAAGTACTACGTAACTTCTTTACGTGCTTCATAAATGCCAATACTTTTTTATAAAAAGGCCCTATTTGACAGTGTCCCTGAAACATTAGCCTTCCATCTTCTTGGTATGGCCATTTCTACTTTCCCTTCCTTCCTCCGCCCCAGCCCATTAATCTCTTTTTCAAGCTATATCAGAGCAGATTTAAAAAAAAAAAAAAAAAAAAATTGTCATGGGTAATTCTGAATGGTAAGAGAATGGCGAGATGGTGCTTGTTGTTTGTCCAAGGAAAACAATTATGTACAAGAAATAAGGATTTTTCTGTGTATTCTCATGAGATCTGATACATAGAATATGCTCAGTAATGAGTGTATTTGGGTTTTTTTGTTGCAGAATGCGAATGAGCAGTACCTGGGAGATGCTTTTTTTGATGCCTCATTGATGATTTGGTCTACAGCATTGGCTGTGATTACTCAGATGGGCCTTTGTTCAGCATTCATTTGTACATTATGGGTAGCATTCCCTTTACTCACTAAGCTGATGATTCATAAAGAATTCAGCCAAAAAGGTACGAGTTTTGAGGGGGGGAGGTTGTATTACAAAACATCTACCCCTACTATTGTGTATTGGATGTTCACTCCAAACTCTATTTTAAGCAAAAGAGAGCCAAAACTTTGAGTTTTGAATTGTCAAAGTATTCGTGTGACATTTTTGTAACAAGAAAAAGTGTTCTTGAACTAAAGACTGTTTTCAAGTATGGAGAAGGTCTTTAAAAAAAATACATTGAAAAGCATCCTGTGTCTCAGGCTAAAAACGACGATACTATGTGGAGTTATTAATAAGTGATCAGATACTTTAATAGGCAGTAAAGGTTATTAAAAAATACTGTACTATTTAAGCAGTGTTTGGGACAGGACGCCTGCTTAATTTTTTTTTTTGTAGTACAAGAATAGTTTTGTGGTGTTTTTGAAAGAGTTACATGAGCATTGGCTATGCAGAATGAGATCCCCTTTCCATCCGTGGCAGGGGTGAGGACAGTATTGTGTATTGAGCCTTGCAGCATTTATTAATAAAGCTGTGTGTTTTTCCTTTTGAAATTTCATCATTTTTTGCCTTTTGTTTTTGTTTCTGTCCCCTATAGGTGCCACAGTGAAGTTTATCATGATGTACATGCTGGGAATGTTTGTTCCCTATCTGTATATGATGTATCTTAGTTGGACTGTATTTGAAATGTTTACACCTGTTATGGGACGAAGTGGTTCAGAAATTCTACCAGACGTGGTGGTGGCAGGATTTATTGTGGTCATCACTATGATTCTGTCATCCTATTTTGTAAGGAGAATACGTAAATGTTGTTTAAAACTTTTAAACTTTCTCTAGAGTTTAGAATCAGTGTTTTTCTAAATTAATACTTGAAGTTAGTGTAATTTGACAATATCTTAAATGTTACAGGCAACTTCCAGGAAACATGTCAAAGATTCCATGTTTTGTGTTAGTCAAAGAAAAGCCATTGAAGCAGGGGTTAGAAAAATATATCTGCTCTATGATGATGTCATAAAGATTGGTGTAAAATATGCAGTTTAATGCTGGAGTTTGAACAGGCATTCATTTTAGGTGAAGTATAGTATGTGGCTGAGCAATACATACACTGCACTTCAAAAAAAAAAAATCCTCAGCGTTTTTCTTTCTGCTGCTCTTGCTGCAAAGGTTCTAGGGTTTTTTTTGGCAGGTGTTTTGAAAAATAGGAAATATTTGAAAGCTCTGAGAAGTACTCACTTTATTCCTTTTGGTTTTAAGTACTGAGGTTACAGAAAAGTGTCTTGTGTCAGGTAGTACTTGCATGATATCTTTTTAGTGTACTTTCAGTTCTGTAATAGGATTTTAGAGTTATACAAATAATGTGTTATTTCTGAAGTCTTGCAGCTTTATAACTGGGTTGTCTTCTTATTCTCTAGATTAACTTCATTTACCTTGTCAAAAGTACAAAAATTACGTTGGTATCTTCAACAGCTGTGTTTGTAGTCACTCTGATCCTCGTTTGTAGTGGAATCTTCTTTTCCTACAGTTCTGATGCAGCTAGCCCAAAGCCTAAGCGAGTCTTTCTCCAGGTAAGAAGAGCCTTCCGTATCGTATCGCCTCTGCTGGTTGCAAGAGTTTGTTTTTTGTCAAAGCTTGACACCCCCTCGACCCCCGCCCCTTCTCTTCCGTGCTTGATGGAAAAGCTCTAATGATTAGGATTTAAAAGAGTTGCTAATGTTTCCTGCGTGCAGGATCTGTGTTCCACTCACCTGTGTCAGAAGAGCAGGGCTTGTTTTGGGGGTTTTTGGGTGGGAGAGCTGAGTAAGCCATGATAGTTTCGAAAGTGAATGTGGGAGATGAGCAAATACTCACAGGCACAGTCATCTGAACGCAGGTGTTTTTATGCTGTTTTGTTTACCTGAGTAATTCTTCTATATATCCACACGTGTTCAGTGCATGCTGGAAGTGCAGTATACCTTAAGTATCGACGTGGAGGATATTTCAGAGTCACTTCTGGCTCTTGCAAACTGCACGTGCTCCATCATCTTTGTGTATCATTTTTTGTTTTTTTCTTCTAGCACACGAGCAGAAGATTTCATGATCTAGATGGGAATGTGGTTAAAAGCGACTCTGGTATATGGATTAATGGATTTGATTATAATGGAATATCTCACATAACTCCACATGTACCTGAAATCAATGACACCATTAGAACCTCATGCGAGGAGCAGGCTCCTTTCTGTGGCCTTCCGTGGATTTTGCCAGTGCATTTCATGTTCCGGTTGGTGTGAACACTGCTTCACTTGAGCACTTACTGCCAAAACACGTTGGTCATTTACACAATTTCGCTTATGTAAGGGTAGAAAAAGTAAGGCTAATCTTAGTCTGAAAGTAAATAATCTGACCACTTCAGAAGACACTTAAACTTCTGTCTAGGTGCAGACAGAATTCTGCCGGAATCTCTGGAGGAGATTGCTGGGTCTGCTGCAAGAGCTGTAGAAGTTGGTGTATGGAAAATTGATGTCAGCACCCGTGGAGGAAAAGATGAAGCGGGGAGGCCTTCTAAAGGGCAGTTCAGAGTAGAAGTGTGTGTGTCTCCTTCCTTTGTTGAAGGAGAGGCCACTGCACGAGCATTCACTCA